TTATAATACCAGCTTCGGTGTACTTGAATGCTTTTTAACGAAATACTTAGTACTTCTTTTTGATAATACATTAAAGTGTATTGCAATAATCACACATGTATAATTTGATCAACAAAATTTTCTTTTTTCTTTTTTTTTCGATTGCCGCTTATCAAACAAAATTGCTTCCACTTCATTTTTGACGAAAACAGATATATGTTAACTTTCCCTTGACATAAAATATCACCAGGCGTATTCCAAACTATTTTTAGTCGACTTGAATCAATAAATAAGTAAAACATTAAAAAAAAGCCTTGATTATGCAACACATTTTTAAAGATCAACACATTTTTAAAGAAATTTATCATGTTCATTTCGATTGATTGATTGTTTCTTTACGTCCCTTTCTGTTCTATTTAATTATTGGTCACTGTCAAGGGTATTTGGGAGGAGTTAATATGAGTTTGACAGTAAAATTGATTTAAAAAGTACACTGTCCCTCATCATGGAAAGTAAAAGAATAGAAAGACAGAGCCCTTTCCAGATTGGCGGCCATTTCCTAAAGTTCCTCTATTGCTGTTTTAACCTAGTTTTCAAAGAGTCTTTCAATTCTCATTAGTTTTTGAAAAGTAAAATTTCAATAATGGACTTGTTTAGTCTAACTCTGCAAGTTACAAACATCTCTGCATTGAGTCCATGAATAAATAGATGAAGTTGCATTTTTTTTCATAAATCATTACTATTTAGAAGGAATACATGAATCCACATTACTTAGAATTAGATTTCCTTATGTTGAAACTGTGAAGTGATTCATGAGAAGGAAAAAATGAGAAAACAGCAAAATAACCTTTGTCACAAAGACATACATTAGAATCAGCTACAATGTCCCAAAATTCCAAAAGAATAATTATGTAATTAAAAAACACAGAAGATACTTCAAAAAGGAGGAATGCAAAAGATCTATTCTCATTTCTAACTTTCACATCAAGACAAACCCAATCTCACACCACATGCTCAGTCCATGGATTACACCACGCCATGTGACAGAGTGTAAAGGGAAAAAATGCAAAAGATGCCCACGCCTTGAAATATATACATTTGTTTATCTAATAGATACTTATTATCTGTATATTTATTGCAAACGCACCTTAAAACATAAAGCAAGTTTTATAGCGAGTTAAGGGTGATGTACAAGCCAAATTGGATCTAGTCTGGTGTAAAATAAGAAATACTAAGAATGCGCTTAATACTCCACTAAACTAGCCCAAAGTTACTCAAAGTGCTAATAAACTAATTACCTACTATTAGAGACCAAAATTAGTAAATAATTAAGTTTATTTTGTTTTAATTAGGAGGAAATTAATCATGTTAGAACTGCGCAGCTACAGCATTCACGAGATGAAAAATGCATTGAAAATGGTGTTAGTTTGATTCATTGATAATATGGCTACAACTATTTGTTTCGCTTTTTTCTTGTCATTATCCATAATTCTTGAAAATTTGATTTTTCATATGGGTGTCTTCCTGAGGCCATGTGTTTATTTCGTCCGCCATTCCTCTGTCACACAGAGTTCGAATAACATTGATTTTAGGATAAATGCGACCATAATAACATCAAGACAAGAAATTACTAAGTAATAATCATTAGGTTATATTACTTGCTACTTTTATTTGTTGCATCGCATCGTCTGATTAATGAAAAAACGCGATTTTAACCCCACTCCAGCAAATCGGGAAAAGCTGTTCTATTTACAGCTCAAATTTCCTCGTTAATATTATTCCACTGAGCACGTGGTTGGCATGTGCATATATCTGCTGTGGATAGATGCGTTTATTACCATGATTATATTAAATTTTTCATGGAACAAGTCTTGATAATTTGTTGGTTTCTTTAAAACTCAAGAAAAAAGATAAAAATGTCCTAAACATATGTGTTTACGTCGGGTCTTTTTTCTTTGGCGATAGAAGTTATTTTCAAATGGGGCACTGCAAGGAGGATGCTTAGCATTTAATTTGAAAATGTTAAACAATATGCGGTGCATGAAAATCAAAGTGTAATTACATGTCTTACATTCGAAAAGTTGGTACATATGTCTATTTTGTTTAGCAATTAGATAGAAAAAATAAGCAGTTATAAGATTTCCTTCAGGCACCTCACATAAATAGCTTGATTGTTTGCAATGACCCACACATTGTATGGAGTAATGTTTGGACATAAAACGTATCATGTCTCATTATGTAAACAACGTTGTAAGCTCTCGCTCATTGAACATACGAAGCTTGATAAAATATATTGAGTTGTTTCTTTGAAATTTAGAAGCAAGCACAATGTTTGCAAAGAAAGGTCCATTGCATATGCTACGTCTATCATTGCACAAAAAAAGTGAGAGGCTACCCCCCCCCCCCCGAAAATCCTATGTTTGTTTTTCAAAATAGTGCCAAAGATTCAAAAAGTTTGCATTACTAAGTACATTGTATGTGATGGAACATGTACTAGCCTTAAAAGACCATTTGTTATAAAAAAAATTTTTGGATGCCCTCTCTCCCGATCTACTGCCTAGAAATGGCCCGACTCATTTTTTTTACATCCCATTACACGGTATTTTTTTTTACTTCTGTCAACAAATGTTTAAATTTTAAGGAATTTTTTTCTCACCTATAAGTACCGACCCAATAATTTTTCCCCGAGTTGGGAGGACCACCAAACGTCATTTGGTATAAAATATTTAATTATGTTGATTTTTTTTTCTTTACTCTGTAAAATTGTGATTTTGACAAAATGGGCAAATAGAAAAAAAAAGTTTTTTTATTTATTAAATCTTCTAACCCACTCTGAATTATTTCATTCCTTTTCAAATGTTGCTCCGCTGTAATGAAAATTGTAAATGTTTATTTGACAGAGTATACGAGGGGTGATCAAAAAGTAAACAATATCTTAGGTATTTGATAGTTATATTATTGTTGAAATATTCAAGTATTTTTCAAAGTGTAAATTAGAGGTCTTTGATAGCATATTGCTTAATTAAAAACACATCCCTTTTCAAACTTGCTTTCACCGGGCAACATAACAAGTATCATATTTAACCATGCATCTGCCTTCCTTCACTAAAATGATCTATCCAATCATTGATTGAATTTATAGGAAGTCATTTGTCTTAATAAACTGTTTTAATGAGGACTATCTAAGTTGTTAGAACTTGTGTCCGATCCCTTTGACATATTGTCAATAAAATATGTTCAAAACAATAAACTGTGAGCAAATTCTTATACGCTACTTCAAAGGCATTTTTAAGATATACCATAAATGTTTTAGTCGTTTGTTGAATGAGTTACACTGAGACAACCATTTTTCGTCACAAGTGACCTGCATAATGACGTCATTTTCACATTGTGAGAAAAACTTTATTCAGCATATGCTATTTATAGAACTTGTATTTGGCTATGTGTGCACCAAATTTGTTTCTAATCTGAATTGTGGTTTTGTAGATACACATGTATAGAGATAGTTCGCGAACTTTTTGATCACCCCTCGTACTAGTAGGTACTAAAACAAGGTCATTCATATCGATTTTATGTGTGTGTTTTCTTCGTGTTTTAATGGTGATAATTAAACTTTTGATAGATATTATAAGTTATCTGTGGCAAACTTACAAACTCTTAATTTTTAGCCGGGCTTATTGCTCAAAGAGCAATTGCCGGCTTATGTGATCCTGTTCAAGGCAGGAAGTCAACCCCATAGTCGCCATTTTAAAGTTACGTGCAAAAATATAGTTCTTACTCTCCACCGCTTTTGAGATAATACAAACGCTCAGTAAAGCAACAAAAATTAAACAAAGTTTTATCTATATAAATAAACATTAGTAGACTAGTAATGACTTCAGTCCTAAGTCAAAGAACCTAGTTCATTAGCGTAAGGATTTTTAATAATCAGTGTTATCGTAGTTCTCTACACATACGAGGTAAAACCAGACTGGCCTGTTTGTTTACATTCAGCTGCTGTACCAGATTAATTCTGATTCTGACAAAATGGGACCGTGGTATTAGGATTGAAAAACTCACTGTCAGTGTCTTATCATTTATATTGATAGTTTTAAAATAATTTTTTCATCAGAATATAAACGTGATTCATGTAAGAAATTCATTCTACTCTGTAAATGAGCCCGGCTCTCTGTACTTCTGAGTACTTTGATGGTGCTCATTTTTCCTTATCTGGAATCAAAGAGTTTAAGATTTTTTTTCATATCAATACGTACACTAACAACTGTTCGATAATAATACTAAATAAATTACTTCAAGAAACACTTTAACACATATCCTCTATTAAAAGTGTTCATATTATTTGAAATATTTTGCAACTGTAATTCTCTTCTACATTTAAAGATTGTTATGTCCCTCCATATTAAGAAGAGGTCTGGAAAACAAAATTCTGTGCTAAAAATAGACCACGTGCTGCTATCCATGAACTACTTTCATGGTTCTTTACACTCTTTTTGAAGACAACAATACATTGTTTTGAACTTGAAATTATCATTTAAAAGTGCAAAATTTAGACATTTTCTCAACAAATGGTTGTAGAGAGAACATTAATGCACAGTTTGCATATTTTTTGGGATTTTTTAAGGCTTTGCTGAATTCTGTAGCTGCGCAGTTCTAAGGAGCATATCAAAAGCATTTTTCTGCAAAAGCATAGATTATATATGCACAACATGCATTCAGTTATGCATATTTATTGTATCTTTATCATAAAGACCTAAAATTTGATCAAAACATAATGTATTTTAGCCATTTGAAGAAATGTTTACATTTTGTTCTCACTGCACTAAAGGTGGCCGTACATCCCCCTTAAGATTTTCATTGTGTTTTTGGTACAATAAACAGAAATATGCTTAAATTAAAAAAGATTACATATCTATACATGTACATAAGATTCTTATTCTTAATGTAATTCAAATACAGTGTATCTTTTTTCTGCTTTTTGTGGAAAATTTATAAGAAGGAAAAACAAAATATTGAGTCCTTCATCAATATTTCACATTTGTGAATTTATTATCATATAGTAACCCTCAATGACAAGTGGATAAATCGTGGTTTAATAAGGAAACGTTTTTTCTCTGTTGAATATTGAATTCAAATTAATTTTATTTAACGTTGGTAAAGCAGCAATAAATGGTGAACGTTATCTTTTTACAAATGAACATATCTATACTTAGCAATTTCAAAGGTAGCAAAAACAAATTATTAAGAAATGATAAGCATGCCTAAAAGGAGAATTAATCCTGCTCACATTCGACCAACACAGGATAAAAAGCAAATATCACTACCCAAATACGTCTACGCTTTATTTGCTGTTGAAACAAAAATGAAACATGCCACTGTCAAGCTTGATTTAATTGTTTGGAAACTGTCAGATTTATAAATAATGCAAAACGTATAAAAGCTACAAGTTCTCCGTCGTAGTTTTCATAGAACTTTGGCTTATCAAATGTACCTTTTGATATTTTCTATTCCATCGACAGAAAAATCCTCTAAGAATTCGTCTAAACTCCTGGCTAAGACAAACGTAAATCCAAAAATTAATATGAAAATTCAGAAGAGTACAAACATTGAGAACAGCTATTAAGAAAAGGTCCGTTTCTGGATCAATAGCTTCAGCATTTATAGTTTTAATGAGAAATCGTAATCCACTTGGAACTTCAACCGCCAAACAACATATAACTATGACAGCGATCATGAGCGAAGTTCTCCGAATAAGTCTTGTTTCTCGGAATTCCCTCTCTGGCCTATGATGGTCAGCGTGTAGGCTTCCAGATTGCCTAACTTCCGTGTCGAATCTTTTAACGAGTAGAATGGTCGTGATGCCCAGAATAATGCAAGGAATCAATTTGGCGACAGACAATTTAAGAATTTTTAGTTTACTTTCGTATTGGGCGGGTACTTCCGTTTGCCAACATTCACACACGTAAACCATATACCCGTATCCATTATCAACGTGTGTTTCTTTAAATTGATGATAAAAGAACTGTGGGAAGTACATAACGGTTGCAAGAATGTAAACACATACGAGAACAATCACAGAGACTTTTATTGTACAGTATTTTGGTCCTAGGAAAGGATGAGATACGACCAAGTACCTTTGGACCCCTAAAACAGTGGTAACCCACACAGACACAGTATGGAGAATGGTAGAAACCACCGGCGCCACGTGGTAGTAGATACATCCGGGGTATTCCATCGTAAACATGTAGTTCTGTAGGCTATGATAGTAAATGTGTAGAGGGACAGTCACCGCCCCGACCCCTGCATCGGCGATGGCCAAACCGATGAGTAACACCGTGGTTGGAGACTTCTTCTTCTGTCTCAGGAAAACTCCCGCTACGATCACATTAGTGATGACCATCAGGATGGCAATGGCAGGGTACAGAATCCCATAGAATACGAAAGCCTCCTTGTAGGCGTAAGGGTTGCAAAAGTGAAACATGGTATAGTTCTGGTCTTCATCATAGCTCTGATTTATCATGACTCTAGGTCTGAAAATAACAGAAAGACAACTGGAATATCTCTACTAACCCTTGTATCCTTTGAACATCAGTATAGGCTTTAGCCTTTAAGTTTCAAACAAATCTTACTAATTAACTCCGGTACGTCGTGAGTGAGTTTGCAAGCTGTGTGCTCTCGCTTCCTTAATTATGCGCATTTAGAAGCTAGTTTGAGTTGGTGATTAATATCTTAACACTGTTATCCAACCAACACAATTGTTCAATTAAATCAACACGTAGTATTAGGTGTTATATATTGATGCTGTCAATAATCAAGATTTACTTAGTAAACACGTCACAGAAAATTCAGGCTGTCTTTGTAAAATAGCAAAGTTAATCACAATAACTAGATAATTCCTTACATCAGAGAAAAGAAGCTTTGATCTTCATCCATATATATCTTTACATGCACATCTTCAATGCAAAATATAACGACATTAACACATGAAGTTAGTTCATGGCTTATCACTGCACCCTAACGTCTAGCTTTACGTCTCCCTGCTGAACCACAAGGAATCTGATACGATACATGGTGTATGATATAGACGTGACTATGACGAGTCTGGTCACTGTAATATACCAACTCTATTTTTATTTTTAAAAAATTGTGATACTAGAATTAATTTCTACATTTACAATTTATCTTTGAACAGATTACCCCTTATGATTGCGAAAAACCTTACTGATTTAGCCGAAAAACAATATCCCAAGTCTAGATAACGGACAATGAGAGATACGATAATGCTGCTTTATCTCTGCATGCAATCTTAACCAAAAAATGTTTTTTTTTCTCATTATTTTGAGTTAGAAATCTATTTTCCTATTATTTTACATACATAAACAACATTCGACAGTGTTTTTTCTGCGATTGATAAAAATTTGCCATGCAGTATGAGTTAAAAACCTATTCGCAACATATTGAAATTAGCTGATTACTGAAGCCGTGAAATAATGGCAACCTGTCTGAGGTGAGAAAATAGCAAGACTGAACCTAGAAAAAATCCATATCTAAACCCATTTTACCCTCATTACAGACTGAGAAATCAAAAATAAATTTGTTTGTTTCTTCCAACAATGCAACCGATTTCTATGCTGTCTTTGCACTTTGAGTAACGCCTTAATTGAGATCTGTGTGATAAACACTCATAAGTTAATAAGCCTTCGACCGTTACCTCAAAACATGATGCCAAATGCATAGTATATATGAAAAGTTACAGTTGCATCATGTTAAAGTACATGTTTTTAGTATATTGTGACTTTAATCGAGTTATCAATTTGAAATTGAATCTATGGTCTAAGTCATGCAGTGTAAATTTTGGATGAATTAATGTTTATTGTACTAAATCTTCTTAAATGACATATCAATACGGATGCAAAAAGCGAAAAACAAACGCACACATTGGAGGATTCAAATATTGAATCAGTACACTGTATATATAAATCAACTGGAATGCACTTAAGATTCATACAAACAAGACATATAATTCTGTTTATGTAACTTTTCGCAATATATGTGTTATGAAAATCTGTACTTTTAGAGCTCAATAGAAATATAATTCTCAATGACTTGTAAATTGAAGAGCCCTGAAATTATTTTTTTCTCTCTCCGGAATAGAGAAATTTTTTCTGAAGCATGTTGCAAAGTTTTTAGCCATCATTTGGTTAACAATGTGAGACAGTTTATGTATCGCGTGTCAAAAAGCAGTAGCTCCTCTATAAGACGTATTATCTATTCCCCAGGAAGTGTCAAATTCTTTAAACATCAGCCTCGTATGAACGATTATTGAATCAACTTAGTGGCAAAACTTCCAGAATAGGCGAAACGGTAAGGTTAACCATCATACATATAGTGCTGTCATTCAAGTATGGCTTAATAAATCGGCAGCAATTGAGATTCTACACAGATATATTAATGTTCTGATCCTTTAGCATTTTCTCTCTAAAAATGCTAGCTACATTTCAAATCAAATGTTTCAAATCATTCCCATAAACGTTGAGCAAAGAAATTAAAAAATATTTTTATCCAAAACATTTTTCAGCGAGAGTGTTCGTGTAATGCGGACCTACAGATTCGGTGGTGAGTAGCACTGATGGCTATCTTCCGTGTTTTCGTTGAGAAATCTGCGCACAACCGACAATACCTTTCATGTTAGTTTTGCCCAAAGCGCTGCAATGCATGCAGACACGTCGCACGATGCACGCGACATAAAAATATATTACGATTTAAAATTATGAAAATATCACACCATCGCCAGATATTTTATATCATTCAGGATTATTTTAGTAGCTTTTGCAAAACGTTTGCATGATGTTAATCAGAATGCAATTCAAATATTAATTTATAAAGATTTACCCCATGAAATCAAAAATTACTTTTCTTGTTCAATAAATGAATACACACTCAACCGAACAATTTTTTGTGAATTTAAATTTTAATTCGTAAGTTATATCGATGAATTTTTTTTTTTTTTTTTGAAAATCGACATATATATGTATTGCTAAATGATTATTCTTGATTTGAAACTACATATTAATGTAAAACAATTTGGAGAAGTAACAAAAAATAATTGGATATTTGATATTCTTTACCTCAAAACTGGGATACCATTAGGAAAGAAAATATCACAAGAATATTCCCAAACACTATTTTCATTAACTGCGTTGGCAAGACAAATGACCCCTTCAGCTTAACGAGCAGCCAAGGAACCAATGCCTACCCGGCGGCGTCTGCCGTCACTTTGGCCACTCTGGTCAGAGAAGGAACCCCATCCTGGGAATGTCACAAATAGAATCATCAATGCTATTGGTTAATTATAGCAGACTTCTCAGAAGTCGGTCCTTGGATCAGGGGAGATACGTGTAGGATAAGCTCTAGAGGTTTACCGAAAGGATCTAACGTCATCCTGTCAGCGGATCGCTCCTCAGATGTACGCACTTTATTGGTTTCTCGGCATACAATGGCGATGTACTAGAGTATTAATTGTATTAAATGATTTAGCTGTCTTTAAAACCTGTCCCGCTAATGCATTGCGGATTCGGAGATACCTGTCAGATATTTAGATTTATTTATTTGATCATGGGAAAATGAGGATCTAAAAGTCGACATTTCTAATTGTCTGCCCCTGTAGATATTGTCAGTGACAAATAATGAATTGTAAACGTGAGCAATAACGGGTTATTTAATGGCAATCAGCATCAATTAAATTAAACTGCTTGATAAAAAAAACCTGTTATTTATAGTACGAAATCTAGCTAGATCATAGATTTTATCTAGATGACAAACATTTAATATGCGAAAGAGAATGCATTTTTACTTTGTTTTGTGATAAAATGTAACAAGAGTTGAAAATTTTACTGCACAGCATCGAAAAAACAAGTACCCCAAAATAAACATAGTTGCGTTATCTCTTAGAATTTCTTTTGTATGGCAATGTTTGATTAAGAATTTAAAAAATAAGGCCAATTTGATCGAAAATGTTTATTTGCCCTTTCCCGATTCAGCATTGATAGTGGGATACGGCTTTTTTCAGAAAAAATTCAAATCAATGCCCAATTTTTAAAATTCAGTATCCGGAATGTATTTAAAAAAATAAATGTTAACTGGAAGTTAAAAAAAATTGTGTAACCAAGGAAGAGGGCAACCAAACAATTTTTTATGAAAATAAGAGATACTAGTAACCCAAATGGCTTTCATTCATTCTTTTATAAGAGTGTTATAGTTATACCTTTGAAGTCTTTATAATTAAATATAACTTATCTAGGCTCATATAAGTAAAGTTTCCCGAATTACAATTTTTTTTATCCAAATCATATTCTGACATCCTTATTTTTTTTATCTAATAATAAAAAATAATAACTATAAAGAAAACATAGGGGGGGAAGTTTTTTGTATTACAGATATCTTTGTATATATCAGTAATTAAATTCTCTAGCAATTAAAAAAACAGAAAAAAAAAAACAACAAAACAAACAAACTAACAAACAGAATGAAATCAACAATAACAAAATAGATCGAAACAATGCCCAACAAAAATAGAGTAAAAAGGTTGAGTGATACTTACATCGCGGGTCAGGCACCACATGTGCAGTTTAATTCCACTTTGATGTTTGCCAAACACTTACACAGAGTTTTCAGGGAGATCGAGGTATTTATGGTTTGTATTTTATAGGAATTAAACAAATTACAACAAACTCATTCAAGCTTTAAAACAGAAAAGAAAACTATTTGTGATTAAACACTGATAAAATGACATCATTTTTCAAAATCTATCAGCAGGAATAATTTATATGTTAATTGTGATATTTCAGAATGGCGTTATCTTGGTGATGTAGGTGCTCGCTGATAACCATCTCTGACACTCAGTCTAAGAAAACCAGTCAGAACTGAACTAAATTCCAGCAATTCATCATTTCCCTTCAAAGACATCAGGTAATTTCGGTTTGCTCTCCTTTTTTGTTTGTTGTGGGATTTGTGTTTTTCTAGTTACAATTTTATACCAGATAAACATTTTTAAAATAATTTTTCAGATGCTATTTAGGGTTTTGTATTCTAAGGTATATATGTGAATTAAATAATACATTTCTAACATCAAACAAATTTACTCAAAACAAAAATTTAAAAAATTTATGTTTAGAACAACAAAAATCCGGACCAAAACAAGTGCAGGAACATTGATTTTAAAGAAATATTTGAAATATTTTCCTCCAGTCTATAAATCAAACTTAAACTGTAATTTTTTTTTTACTCTAAAAAACTATCTATAACTGTAAATTGAATAATTTCCTACAGACACCAGCTTACTGGTACACTGGGCGCCATCTGGTGTTGATAGACGACACCAGACATCTGTTCGCCTATGTTAACCACCATCCCAGGACAAAGCTGATGTCATAGTGAGAAGTAGTGGCTTAATGTACAAAAAAGTCGAGGGTTACATGATTTTTATCTTATTATTCTTAATTTGAGTAGTGTTTATTTATCAGTCTGTTTTGGTCATGTCTATAAATCTGTTGATTAACAACGGAATATTTAATTGTGACTTACACATTTGAACAGCTGAAATAATTTGAACAAATAATGTTTATATATGGATGTTTACCATATAGTATAATGAATTATTACACTTATTCAAGAATGGTCTTATGGCACTGAATTGTAACAAAAAATGGATACTTTTATGCAAGTCAAGTTTTAAAGAATCTACATTCTACATTCTAGTCTTATATCAGATGAAAATATTGTCCATATGCACAAACCCACATCAATTAGAAATTTTGTACATGTATGGTATTAAAAATCCACATCCATATACAATTTAAGTCAAAAACTTTATAAATGAAAATGAGAAACAAGGATGTGAATTGTCGCTTTAGTAAGAAAATAAAACCCATAAATGAATTAATAGATACATTTGCAATTTATTCTTTAAAACAAAACCGTTGACTTTGGAACTGAGAGCAATCAATTTTAGTCATGAACACCACATACACAATTTTACGTTTATTTACTTTGTTAATTTATATTAATGTTTCTATATTCTTGGACAAAAAATTATATTATTCCTTGAAGTAGCTCTCTTGTGAACTTTCCTTGTATGAAATTTTAGAATTCTAGATAATTTATGTATTTTAAAGCAGTATATCTCTTTAATAACAATCACTCACCTAATTTGACAATTATATGTTTTAAATTGACTAAGTGAATGTACTTTTTGTAAATTAACTTCCACCTTTTAACTTTTTTAAAGCCCAATCTTGATGAATGTAACACGTTATATATTTCTTCAGTTAAACTTAAATTGAGATCTGATGACGTAGGCAGAAGGTTGGGGAGTAAGGCTCCATTTAATCAGATGGAAATTTGGTGCTTGTTAAATTCAAGGATAGTCTCACAAAAGATAAAATAAACTATATCCAGCTTTGTGCTTGTTTTGTTGTTTTCTTATCCCATTTTCTCGTAGACTTTACTTTAATTGACGTTTTCTAACTCTCGTACTGGCAAAAGAAACAATGATTTGTGTTGTAACATTAAAGTTGCTGTATTTTTATTCCGAAAAAAAAAACCTAGTTATTTTTTAACAATGCAATATTCCTATACTTATCTGGTCGAGAACATAGGTATTGATTCTGTGAATACAAGTTCGGAAACTACATGAAAGTACAGACATGTTTTACAACAAAAGTAGATATAAAACGATAACAGTTTACGATTCTTTAATTTTTGGCAGACGATTCATCACTGATAATGTCAAAAAACAAGATAACTAATACATAACTGTCTTCAAATATCTGCCTTACGATTTCCACATGTAATATTAAAGAACATGCAGGATAAATACGCACAAAACAAATTGAATTGGTGACATTTATGTTTTAGAACAAATTTGAAATATTTTTTGAAATAAAAAATAAAGTATTTACTTTTCAAGTCATGTTTTAAATTTTAAAATTAATCAATGAAATATGGGTGGGTGTAAATATAAAATTTATAGAATATGGCCACACCCGCCGTACATGTATGATCAAGTATATACATTCATTTATAAATAATGGACTAACATATAATTAAACTTGTATATTATTGAATAAAAGTATTTACTTTGTCATGTTTTAAATTTTAGATCACCGGGGTGGGTGTAAATATAAAATTTAGAATATGGCAAGTACATGTATGATGTATACATGTATAATTGTCATATAATTAAACTTGTATTTGATATTCCTGGCATGTAAATTCCGAATTAAGAACATGACAACAACTAAAATAGATTTACTAGAGTGAATGCAAGTTTTTGTTGACCCGTATCATGTTGTAAATTTTGAATTTACCAAGGGGAGGTAAATGCAAAATTTATCATGTTGTAAAAATGATACCCGAATCAAAGTTAAAAAATTTCATTCAAATGAAATTTTGTTATGCTAAAAGAAAAGATCATTTGTATACTAGTATTCAATTCTTTTTAAATGGATATCATTAATTAAAGCTCAAAATCTCAAGTAAAAACAAAATAAAAATTTCAAGGTATCATACACTTTAGTAAAACAATATAAAATTATTAACGTATGAACTACAATAACTGATGTAGAAACCATTAAAGTCCCTTTAATGAAATCCACTTGCTAAATTATATCAAGGAAAGAAACATATGGAGAAACCGAACAGTGTTCAACATCAAAAGTTCATAAAACAATGCAAAATACGAGCAGAGCAAACACGGACCTACAAAACATCAGAGATGAAAGTATTCAAACATTAAATTCAGATGTTTTTTTACTACATATAAAGATAATACCTCACACATCTTATATCATTATTCTTAAGCTTTAAAGATAATTTTTTAGGATTTTTTCTTGAAATCGGTGAAGCTATAGTGTGTCAAATCAATAGTATGTACGTGTGCACTACAGCACTGATTCTACTCTTCATCCATCATTGTCAGAGACAGAACTTATAGATCAGAAATAAATTAAAGCATCTCTCTATTTTAAGGATTACAATAATCATAAGTAAAACTAATGAGAAAATATTTTAATAGTTTAAAGACATGCTAAGATCTTTGTGGCAATGTCCTAGATCGTGATGCAAAAAGAGGATCGAATTTCATATACGGAAACATTTAAAAATGATAACCACGAAAAAATGGCCCTCAAATTAGTAAATAAATAAATTATTAAAAGTTTTGAAAGAAAATAAAAAGTTTCTTCCCATCATTTAGAATTCATTTTTTGTAATGTCAATTAACATGTTTCTAAAAAAATTGACCTAAAAATGACCCCCTTTACAATGAAAAGAGATTCTTTAATTGTCAAGTTATAAAATTTCTTTTTAATATTCCTCCTTATAGTGTTTGCGAAAAGAGTGATATTCCACTTGTTTTTTTAGAAATCAAACCATGCCACAATCGGATTCCAATACTTTTTAATTGAAAAATTAATTTTCCCTT